CCCCAAAACCCCAAAACCCCAAAACCCCAAAACCCCTGAGAAAACATGGCTGATTGAAAATTAGAAAATTTGGGAAGGTAAACACAATTTTGGATATGAAGCTTCGCTCCATTATATTCTGGGCGAGATGTGAGCAAAATTGAGGATCAAGAAGCAATAGAAATAAATCAAAGGCATTAATCATTAGTAAATCCTCATTCCCTTTTTGTGTTTATAAATATAGTGTACTAATTTTCTTGGAGAATTTTTGCTTCGGATAAATTATTAAATCAAGTATAGGAAAAGGCATTCATTAGCACTTGTGTTTAGATTGTTATCATTTTATGCGAAAACTAAGGATGAAGATGACTGAAATTACTCAAAATAATTCAATTAGCACAAAAGCAATTATTCTCTTTGCATGATGTCTTCAACTGCTCTATAGTAGGAGTCCTTTGATTCTTTCAATTTGGGATAAGCTTCGATAATTCTTTGGATGAACCCTGACTTATATAAAACTTCATAAAATTTTGAGCATCCTTCTAGCTTATAGAATTCTGAATATTTTCTAACTGAATACTGCTTTAAATTTTTCTTAATCATTGACCTGAACTTCCTGATCCTGAAGGAGTTGCCTGGGAGCCAGTAGTTGGATGTCACAAAGCTGGCTAAATTTTGAATAAAAAGCTGGCTGTCTTCATCAGAAATGCTAATAGATTCTTGGACAACTTTAAAATATTTGCTATAAAATGTAAGCAATTTGTTTTGAAATTGGGTACTAGATTTCGGCTTATCTGTGATGTCTTGAAGATTGTGCTCTTTATTCAACAGCTCGTATAGAAATCTTCTGATGCTCCTGAGGAGAGTTTTATGGACGATGTCGACTCTCTCTGCGGAAGCTCCCTTCTTGAAAGAATTCTTTTGGCCTTTATAACTGAGGCTTACAGAATGAACTTCATTTAAAGATTCTTTGGTGAAATTGTGTGCACTCGAATCAGAATTTAGCTTCGAGATGACTCTATGAGTTGGAGAAATTTGAGTATCCCTGTTCTTATCTTCCAGTTTTATCTCAGGTACAAAATGGGAATCGAGGTACTTGAGAAAGTTATTTCTATCAGATTCCATTTGCTCCCCTTCTGGATGATTAGTTTTGTCTTCCTTTGAGGCAGTTATCTTCTGAGCACTCTCACAATTAGCTTCATAGAGTATAAAGTCTATAGAAGAGATTTATATCTTACTGGGTATTTGATTAAGGCTCAAAAAGTGACCATCAATACTCAAATTAAAAATCTTACCATTCGTTTTATCAAAATCAATCGAATGAATATTGAGAGGAATGAAGGCCGGCTCATCTAAAGTTTTGCTAAATCAGCCATAAAGGAATGAATCAGTAGAGGTATCTATGCAGAAAGGCCAGGATAAAGATTGATAATACATTAGCATGAATTATTTATTCAAATGTTCAAAATAAACATATACCGATTAGAAGATTTCTTACTAGTCTCCATATTATGTACAAATAATTTAATATTTTAATATTTTCTTAAAAATTTCTTTTTTATATCATGCCAGATGAGGAAACTTGAAGGACCAGAAGTTAATCAGATCGTATCCTCAAATTGTTCATGCATTTTTATTATGTTATTAGCATTTAGTTACTTTACTATTCATCTTTTTCGGGTTTTCTGGATGTATATAAGACTTATCTCTCAGAAGAGGGTTCTGAGACTCCTCCTTTTTCCGTAAAAGAGATAACTCAAGTAAATTTAATTGTCATTATTAATTAAAGTTTTGACAAATGCTCGAGTAAGCTCAGCTGACTAAAACAAAAGATGTGAACCAACTTCTCTCCAGTTACCAGTTTGAGGCCATCTTCTGCACTTACTACATTTGATAATTCATCCATGAGCTGAATTATGACCACCTTGTTCCTTTGGCTTTGAAATCTTGAAGGATTGCTATTAACAGATTACAATAGTTATTTATAAATTTCCAACAAGTTTATAGCATCTGGCCCCTTTTTGAAGAGGTTTGTCAAAACTCAGTTATGATGAAAACTAGAAGCTTGAATATTACAAATTTTATAACTGAAAAGAAGATTTAGCACATTAAGATGAGACAATTTTAGAATTATTTGAAGTCACACCGCACATGATTTAAAGATGTCAACATAGAATTATCTCCAATCAGATCAGCGAACCATTGTTCATCTTCAAAATCAGCAGAGTTATCGCTCCTAGAATAGTACATTGCCACTGAAATCTGGTGATTCTCATAAGGAATTCTTAGGGGATCAGCCTGTCCTTAAGCAGCAAGGTTCCCTTCTTCTCCGAGATCGAAATAAGTTACTTTTCCAGTTCTAACACTTTACATTGCGTGGGATAGCAAATGGGTTGCAAATCCTCTATAATTAAATTTTAGATAAGCAATGAATAAACTTTAAAGTTCTGAATATAATAAGCTTAAAGTCTTGCTTAGCCAATCGACAGCTTTTACTTACCTGAATATGAAGTTTGTATATGCATCTGGGTCGTCATAACTAGGATCAGCTTGTCCACCTATAAATTGTTGCATAAGAAGACAAAATTCAGGCATCATTCCGCAAGAGATTCCTCCTATCATTTGAACAGGGATATTTTGGGTAGTCATTGCAAAGACTCCAAAATCTTCAAGAGTAGCCAGTACTCCAGGAATACTCGCGATGAGCTGGAATCCGATGAACTGAGTGTGCGCAAAAGTCATCGTTGCAGCAACGTAATGTAATGACCTGATGCGTGGGTTGAAGAAGTCAGGGTGCAGAGCGATTGCATGTCCTAGTGATAAACCTCCTGACGAGTACCCATGGGCATGTACTTGAGGATAGCCTGTTTCATCGATGATATAAGTCAATGCTGCAACATGGTCTTGGGATATATCAATGAGATCAAAGTGCCAATATTCTTCAGGAGGAATATCAGGATTAACGTGTCCTCTCGAATTATCAGTTCCTCTTGGGTTTAGGAACCATAAATCATATCCTGCATCCACTATACGAAAACCTGGAGATTCTTCACTACCAAGTAAGAACAGCATTGCTTCACCTGTGCCTAGAGGAATATTTGCGTAGAAGGGTTCTCTGTTGGGGTCATCATCGCCGAGTCTAGCTCTGACTCTTTGGAGCATTGTCACATACCCATCTTCTGAGGTAATGAGGTGTTCTTCGTACTGGTACCCATATCTATCGCATAGTTCCTCCAGGTTTAGGTACCAGTCTCTATGATTTTGGCCAAGGGAAGGTCAGATTCAAAGGAAAAAGATGGCACCAAAAATTAGACACTTGTTCATTTATTTCAAATTATTCTAAAGCATCTGTTGTTTCAATATTTGAGTCATGGCTGGGGTTTTGGGGTTTTGGGGTTTTGGGG